GTTGGTTTGATGTGTTAGAGGGGGGGGGGTGCTTGGGTATTTATATTGGGGAGGGGAGGGTTTTGCTTGGGGTAGGGGACAAGAAATAGATTAGGATTAGGAAACAAGAGGAAAAGATCTAGAAATAGATACGGAATAAACGAACATAGGGCAAGAGTCCTACTAGGACTAGGAAAGAAAGGAAGCGGCGGCTCCCTGGTGCGCGCGCGCTATGGCCTCTTGGCCGGCCGGCGGCTAGCGGCTTGGGCCTTTGGCCCAAGGTGCTGCGGATTTTTTTTTAAACGGTCTCGCGTGCAGAAAAATAAATAAAAGAAAATCTAAACGAATTTCAAAATTAATGAAGTAAATTTTCTCCGACTCGTAAAAATGAGCCGAACAAAATGAACTTTACTCGGGACCTAAAAAGCAATTTTTGAAAACACGCATTTTTCCCTATCCAAATAAAATGCGAATAAAATTCCGGCAAACAAAGTTTGATCTATTTATTAAATCTTCATTTTCCTAAATTTGGGAAAGTCATATTATTCCCTCCCTTATATTTTTGATAATGGAAAAATAATTGAAGATGAAATAAATAAATCAAATGATCCTCTTTTCAATTCGAGAAAACTCTCAAATATGAAAATAACGAAATCTCCAACTCTCTCCAAGGGTCCTTGAGTTGCGTGAAATTTCTAGGATCGACCAAAATGCAAGAAAATAAAATATGCATAATGATCTATTCCAAATTGAAAATAAATTCAAAGGGGGCTTTGAATTTAATTTTTTGAAACTCCCAACTCATATTTCATATAATTTGAAGAAGTCATTTTATCTTCTCTCGTGAAAATCATTGAGTCGCATAGAGTTTTAGAATTGGAATATTTTCCAAATGAAATTCAAATATTTTTCAAACACCCTTTTCATTTTAAATGGAAGAAGTCATGTCATCTTCTCTCTAGGGTTTTGTGTTTGAAAAGCATTTGAATTCACGGAGAGCATAAAATGCAAAAATGAAAGTTTGGGAAAGTCCTTTTATTCCCTCTCATTTAACTTTCAAAAAGGTTTCGAATTCACTCACTTTCAGACAGTCAATCAAACAATCAGTCAAATCTATCTATTTATTATAACATTCCAAAATTTAGAATTTTGGGATGTTACACTTCATGTTCCCACAAATCGTGTGTATATTTCACATGATGTTATCTTTGATGAGCATGTTTTTCCTTTCTCTAATCTTCCCACTCCTGTCACCACACCCGCCGAACCAGTGCATTCATCTCCTTTATTGCCTGATCAATTTGTAGATGTTGCACACTCGCCTCTTTTGTTGTCTAACCATGGTGCAGGAACTAGTAGAGGTGCCCGGCTTGTTCTCTTGGAGGACTCCCCCGCTGCTCCGACGGTTTCTTTGACGGATCATGTCGATCCTGCCGCTGCGACTCCCTGCATGGGGCATCCAGGGTCCCCTTCGCTCACGCCCGCTACGCACTTGGACCCGGCTCCGGTAGCGGCGGGCTCGCCCTCGATGGTTCACATCGATCCCGCACCGCCTCCTCCCTGCATGGGCCATGCAGGGTCGTCTGCCCCCGCACCCGCTACGCGGGCGGACCCGACTCCGCTGTTGCTGGAGCTTCCCGCGTCCCCTGGGCTGGACTCGCCCGCGACTGGGCCGGCCTCGCCTGTGTCAACCAGTCAGGGGACGCCCGCCCCATTGGGTCGCCTCCTGACAGCCCGTCCTCGCCGCAATCTCCCTCTGCTGGACGTCACCTGCTGCCACCACCACTTGCTTCTTCTTCTCCGGAGACGCGGGCTACTCCACTGATGGTTCCTGCACCCTCGATCCCGCCAATGGCTCCTGTTGCTCATCGTCCACACACTCGCAACAAGAGTGGTATTGTTCTTCCGTGAAAACGCACCGATGGCACGGTTGCATGGCTTGCAGCTTGCATCGCTCATTCTGAAACTGATCCTTCCGCTGAACCTCGTCATTATCAGGCAGCTATGGGTATCCCTCACTAGCATTCTGCGATGGAACAAGAGTATCAGGCATTGCTGAAAAATGGTACGTGGCGTCTTGTTCCTCTGAAGAGTGGTGCCAATATTATTGACTCTAAATGGGTATTCAAAGTTAAGCGACATGCTGATGGCTCTATTGAACGGTATAAGGTTCGGCTTGTTGCTCGTGGGTTCAAACAACGTCAAGGCCTTGATTATGATGATACCTTCAGTCCTATGATCAAGCCTACGACTATTCGTCTGCTTTTGTCTCTTGCTGTTACTCGTGGATGGTTTCTTCGACAGCTCGATGTTTAGAATGATTTTCTCCATGGAGTTTTTGATGAAGAGGTCTATATGCGTCAGCTGCCTGGGTTTGTTGATCCTGCTCGTCCGCATCATTTGTGTCGTCTCGTCAAGGCTTTTTATGGTCTCAAACAGGCGCCTCATGCCTGGCATGCGCGTCTTGGTTCTGCTCTTCGCGCACATGGATTTGTCCCTTCGACCGCTGATACGTCCTTGTTCATGCTACAGCGCCCTACGGTCACTATGTACCTAATGGTGTATGTCGATGACATCATCTTGATCAGCTCGTCAGCCTTTGCTGCGGATCGTCTTGTTTCTGCTTTGAGTGGTGACTGCTATTACAGATCTTGGTCGGCTTCATTATTTCCTTGGTTTGGAGGTCTCTCATTCTGATGCCGGTCTGACTCTCACTCAGCAGAAATATTCTCTGGATTTGCTTCATCGTGCTGGTATGCTCCAGTGCAAAGCCTGCTACTACTCCCATGACAGCTTATGGTCGCCTCTCTGCACTTGATGGTACTCTTCTTCCGTCGGATGAGGCTACAACGTATCGCAGTATTGTTGGTGGCTTACAGTATTTGACGATCACTCGTCCTGATATCTCCTATACGGTTAACAGTGTATACCAGTTTCTTCATGCTCCTCGAGATACTCACTGGACTGCTGTCAAACGCATTCTGTGCTATGTTTGTTTCACTGCTGCTCTGGGTCTGCATCTTCGGTCTGCTCCTTCTGGTAGCCTCTCGGCTTTTTTTGATGCTGATTGGGCTGGTAGCCCGGATGACAGGCAATCTATGAGGGGATATGCAGTGTTCTATGGTCCTAATTTGATCGCCTGGAGTGCTCGTAAACAGGCTACAGTATCGTGTAGTAGTACTGAAGCTGAATAAAAGTACTGGCAATGCCACTGCTAAGTGATTTGGGTTCAGTCCTTACTTCGAGAGTTGTGGGTCTCTCAGATTCATCCTCCTGTTCTTTGGTGTGACAACATCGGTGCTACGTACCTTTCTTTAAATTCGGTATTTCATGACCGAACAAAACACATCGAAGTTGACTATCATTTTGTCAGAGAACGAGTTTCACAGAAGTTACTTCAGATCAAGTTTATTTCTTCTAAAGATCAACTTGCTGATATCTTCACGAAGTCGTTGCCATTGCCTCAGTTTGAGGGTTGTCGTCGCAATCTTAATTTTCTGAAATCTTCAGACCACGGTTAGGTTGAGAGAGGGTGTTAGACTTGTAGTTATACGTAAATACGCATTATAACTTGTATACAAATGTATTTGTACTC